CCTCCAAGGTCCCTTCCAACTTTATTATTATTATTATTATTATTATTATTATTATTATTATTATTATTATTATTATTATTATTATTATTATTATTATATGCATAATGTTTGCAACTAGACGAGAAGTTCTTTCTCCAGTTTTATTCTGCATTAGTCAGTCCCTCCCTCTCAGCCCAAGAGCCAATCAGGGATAGTGGGGGAAGGGGCTGGGCTGGAATTGNAATAATAATAATAATAATAATAATAATAATAAAGTTGGAAGGGACCTTGGAGGTCAACTAGTCCAACCCCCTGCTCAGGCAGGAAACCCTATACCATTTCGGACAAATGGCTATCCAGTCTCTTCTTAAAAACTTCCAGTGTTGTCGCATTCACCGCTTCTGGAGGCAGGTTGTTCCACTGGTTAATTGTTCTCACTGTCAGGAAATTTATCCTCAGTTCTAGGTTGCTTCTCTCCTTGGTTAGTTTCCATCCGTTGCTTCTTGTCCTGCCTTCAGGCGCTTTGGAGAATAGCTTGACTCCCTCTTCTTTGAGGTAACCCTTGAGATTGTGCAACTATTTTTATTTTTGCAACAGTTGTAAAGCGAATCACTGCGAATCGCCATACGGTCGTTAAGCAAATCCAGCTTCTTCCCCCCCCCTTGATTTTGCATGTTGGAAACTGGCTGGGAAGGTGACCAGGTGACCAGGGGAATGCTGTGACGGTCATATTGGTTGCCAAGAGTCTGAATTCGGATCACGTGACCGTAGGGATCCTGGAATGGTAGTAAGTGCAAGGATCATAGGTCAAAGGTCATTTTTCTCGGGGGTGGGGGGGCATTGCAACTTGCAGCAGTTGCTAAACGAACCTGTTGTAAGTCAAGGACTTACCAGTAATTGCTATAGACCTCAGGGGACATAATTTAGGTTACTGCAAAGGGGTCCCTTGTAATATGGGGCGGGGGTCACAGACATAGGAGGCTGTGACTCTTGTTCCTTTTTTGATATTTTGTTTTATTGTTTTTTTAAACAGAGGCTGTTTTAATGATCTAGTACAGTTTTTACATTTACATTTTATCTGCCATGAATTCCTTATTCCTATATATAAAAATGTATTAGGCTGGTCTCTCACCATTGGACTCTGTTGATTGCCTCTGGCTGTGATTCCCTTTCTTTCTTTCTTTCTTTCTTTCTTTCTTTCTTTCTTTCTTTCTTTCTTTTCCTTTCTTTCTTTCCTTCCTTCCGTCCTCCGTCCTTACTTGTTCTTTCCTCCCTTCCTCCCTTTCCTTTTTTCATCTCTTCCTCCTCCCTTACTTTTTCCTTCCTTCCTTCCTTCCGCCCTCCCTCCCTCTTGCCCTCCCTCCATCTTTACTTGTTCCTTCCCTCCTTTTTTCCTTCCTTCCTTCTTCCCTTCCTCCAGTCCATCTTTTCTTCCTTTCTTCCCCTTCCTTCTCGCTCCCATCTTTCCTTCCTTCCTTCCCTCCTTTCCTCCCTCCCTCCCTCCCCTCCTCCTCCCTTCCTTCCTCTTCTGCTTCCCTCCCTCCCTCCTTTCTTTTCTTCCTTTCTTCCCCTTCCTCCCATCTTTCCTTCCTTCCTTCCTCTTCTGCTTCCCTCCCTCCTCCCTGCCTCCTTTCTTTTTTTCTTCCTTTCTTCCCCTTCTTCCTCGCTTCCTTCCTTCTTTCCTTCCCTCCTCCTTCCTTCCTTCCTCTTCTGCTTCCCTCCCTCCTTTCTTTTCTTCCTTTCTTCCCCTTCCTCCCATCTTTCCTTCCTTCCTTCCTCTTCTGCTTCCCTCCCTCCTCCCTGCCTCCTTTCTTCTTTTCTTCTTTTCTTCCTTTCTTCCCCTTCTTCCTCGCTTCCTTCCTTCCTTCTTTCCTTCCCTCCTCCTTCCTTCCTCTTCTGCTTTCTCCCTTCCTTCCTTCCTTCCTTCCTCCCTCCCTCCCTCTCTCCCTTCCATCTTCTTTTCTTCCTTTCTTAACCTTCCTCCTCCCTCCCTCCCATCTTTCCTTCCTTCCCTCCTCCCTCCCTCCCTCTTCCCCTCCTCCTTCCTCCCTCTCTCTTCCCACCTTCGCTCCCCCCCCCCCGCCGCCTTTCTCCTCCTCCTCCTCCTCCTCCTCCTCCTTCCCGGCTCCTGCCTTTTCTCCGCCTCCCTTTGTTTCCGTCTCCCGCGGCCGGCCGGGCGAGGATGCTGCCGGCCTGAAGGAGCAGCGCCCGGGCCATGGCTGCGGCGGCGGCGGCTGCAGGTACCGAGAGGCGAGGGTGCCTCTGAGCACGCACAGAGGGCGGGCGGGAAGGAGGCGGGAGGGGGCTGCGGGGGCGTCGTCCGCGAGGCTTTGGAGTTCTGGGGAGGGGGGAGCCTTCCTCCAACCCCCCCCCCCCCGATCCGCGGGGATCTCGTTCCACCCAGTTGCCGGCGCTGGCAAAAGGGCTTCTGGGCATGAGCAGAGGGCGGCAGCGGGAAAAGCTAGACTTCAATAGGAGAAAGATTGGGAAAGACTCAAATCAATGCGTTTCTCAAGCTCGGTGAATTGAAGGTGTCTGGACTTCAATTCCCAGAGTTCCCCAGCCAGCCATGCTGGCTGGGGAACTCTGGGAGTTGAAGTCCGCTCATCTGAAAAGGCTACCTAGAGGGAGAAAGACTGGTCTAGATGCCTTTTTCCAAACCTCTGTTGTGGGGGGGGGGTCTCTTTGGGACTTTCCAGATGGGCTTGGGGGGTGGGTGGTCTCCTATTATTTTCTATCTCTTAATTATTGTCCAGTTCATATCGATAATGAAGATTTAAAGAGGCCCACCACAAAGGTGATATGTCTGTCTGTCAGTCTGTCCGCCCATCATCTGTCTGCCTGTCTCTCTCTCTGTATATATATATTATAACAATCTGTCTGTCTATCGTCTGCCTGTCTCTCTCTCTCCATCCATCCATCTATCCATCCATCCATCTTGTCTGCCGGTCTCTCTCTCTATTATAACTATCTGTCTATCAGTCTGTCTGCCTGCCTCCCCCCCCCTCTATTATATCTATCTGTCTATCATGTCTCTCTCCATCCATCCATCCATCCATTGTCTATCTGTCTGCCTCTCTCTCTCTCTCTCTCTCTCTCTCTCTCTCTCTCTCTCTCTCTCTCTTTTATATCTATCTGTCTATCAGTCTGTCTGTTTGTCTATCATCTGTCTCTCTCTCTCCATCTATCCATCCATCCATCCATCCATCATCCATCCTGCCTGTCTCTCTCTATATATATTATATCAGTCTATCAGTCTCTCTGTCTGTCTGTCTGTCTGTCTCTCTCTCTCTCTCTCCATCCATCCATCCATCCATCCATCCATCCATCCATCCATCCATCCATCCATCCATCCATCCATCCATCCTGTCTGCCGGTCTCTCTCTCTATTATATCTATCTGTCTATCAGTCTGTCTGTCTGTCTGTCTGTCTATCATCTGTCTGTCTCTCTCTCTCTCTATCCATCCATCCATCCATCCATCCATCCATCCATCCATCCATCCATCCATCCATCCATCCATCCTGTCTGCCTGTCTCTTCTCTCTAAATATTATATCTTTCTATCTATCAGTCTGTCTGTCTATCATCTGTCTGTCTCTCTCCATCCATCCATCCTGTCTGCCTCTCTCTCTCTCTCTCTCTCTCTCTCTCTCTCTCTCTCTCTCTCTCTCTCTCTCTCTCTCTCTCTCTCTCTCTCTCTCTCTCTCTCTCTCTCTCATATCTATCTATCTGTCTGTCTGTCTCTGTCTCTGTCTCTCTCTGCACCTACCTAGCTACCTATTCTATATTTATCCTGCCTTTATTATTTTTATAAATAACTCAAGGCAGTGAACATACATCATACTCCTTCTTTCTCCTATGTTCCCCAGAAAAACAACCCTACAAGGTAGGTTGGGCCGAGAGAGGGAGGGACTGGCCCACAGTCACCCGACCGGCTTTCATTCCTAAAAAGGGACTAGACCTCACCGTCTCCTAATTTCTAGCCTGGAGCCTTCACCATGAAACCAAACTGGCTGTCTTTGCCCTTCATGGAGAATAAAGGTGGTGGGGGGGAGGGGGAACCATGCCAGGCCTCGGAATCCGTCTTCAAGCCTTGAGCCATCTTCTGGCCCTGGTTTCCTAAATGGAATGTAGCCTTCACGAGGACTAGGACCTTGAGCTTTTTTCAGAAAGGAACTCAAGCCAAAAAGGCAGGACGTGGCACCGGGGGATGTCGTATCGCAGTTGGACTGTCCTGGGAGAAGTGGGGTGGTTTGACAAGCCCTCTGTGTTTTAGAATAGAATAGGAGTAACAGAGTTGGAAGGGACCTTGGAGGTCATCTAGTCCAACCCCCCCTCCCCGCCCAAGTAGGAGACCTTACACCAGTGGTTCTCAACCTGTGGGTTGGGACCCCATTTGGGGTCGATCGACCATTTCATGGGGGTCGCCAAGCAAGGCTGTCCGCCATTTTTTTTGTCCGCCATTTTTTCCCCCTTTTCCGGCGGGTGCCTTACCTCCCTTGGGCTGGGCCAGCTGGTGGTCGGCCTGCTCCGTCTCTGCCGCTTGCCAGCTACACCTTGGCCAGCGCAGGGGGCGGAACCACGCATGTGCGGCGCTCCCGGGCAGGGAAAGTCCTCGACTTACGACCGGTTCAGTCCTCGACCTACGACCAGTTTAGTCCTCGACTTACGACCGGTTTAGTCCTCGACCTACGACCGGTTTAGTCCTCGACTTACGACCGGTTTAGTCCTTGACTTACGACCGGTTTAGTCCTCGACTTACGACCAGTTTAGTCCTCGACTTACGACTGGTTTAGTCCTCGACTTACGACCGGTTGGGGTCGCGGCATTAAAAAGGTTGAGAACCACTGCCTTACACCATTTCTGACTGATTGCAGTCCGGTCTCTTCTTGAAAGCTCCCACAACTTCTGAAGGCAGCCTTTTTCTGATCCTGGTCAGAGGAAGAAGGAATCGGAGACGTTCATGAGGTCTCTCTCCCCGATTCCGTCTCTGATTCGCTTCCCGCGTCCATTTCCAGGGATGGACGCGGAGTCCCTGGCTGGGGATGAGTGTCTGGAAGAAGATGAGGAGGAGCTGGAGACCAGCTTGGAAGACCCCGAGCAGGAGAGCGTGGGAAAAACCGTGCCGGGTGGACGCAGCTGCGGCCTCCTGACCCGCCGAGGAATCACGCTCCGGGTTCTTCTCAAAGATGGGCTGATTGAACCGGGGGAAGGAGTCCTCTCGATTTACTACCTGGTAAGAGACCCCCTTTCCCGCTCCTCTCTTCAGACCCCACAGCCTTCTAGCGCTGAGGATGTTACCAAGTTGGGTCATGAAACGTCTGCAAGAGAACAACTAAGCTCAGAGAGAACCAGGGACCCCCCCCAGTCCTCCTCCTCCTTCTTTTCTTCCTCTTCTTCCTCTTCTTCCTCCTCTTCCTCCTTCCTCTTCTCCTCTTCCTCCTCCCCCTCCTCTTCCTCCTCCTCCGCTTCCTCTTCCTCCTCTTCCTCCTCCGCTTCCTCTTCCTCCTTCTCCTCTTCCTCCTCCTCCTTTCTCCTCTTCTTCCTCCTCCTCTTCTTCTTCTCCTCCTCCTCTTCTCCTCCTTTCTCCTCCTCTTCTTCCTCCTCTTCCTCTTCCTCTTCTCTTCTTCCTCCTCTTCCTCCTCTTCCTCCTCCTCCTCTTCCTCTTTCTCCTCTTCCTCCTCTGCTTTCTCTTCCTCCTTCTCCTCTTCTTCCTCTTCCTCCTCTTCCTCCTCCACTTCCTCTTCTCCTCCCTTCTCCTCCCTCCTCCTCTTCCTCCTCTTCCTCTTCCTCCTCCTCCTCCTCAGTTCCAGGTTGTTTCTCTCCTTGATGAGTTTCCACCCATTGCTTCTTGTCCTGCCTTCAGGCGCTTTGGAGAATAGCTTGACTCCCTCTTCTTTGGGGCAGCCCCTGAGATACTGGAAGACTGCTATCATGTCCCCCCTCGTCCTTCTCTTCATTAAACTAGACATCCCCAATTCCAGCAACCGTTCCTTATATGTTTTAGCCTCCAGTCCCCTGATCATCTTTGTTGCTTTTCTTTGCACTCTTCAGTGTAGCTCCTTGAACAAACTAGCATGGGTTGTTCACACACCAATAAGCCCCCCTGAAGGAACTTTGTGAGGGTTTAGGGCAGGGGTCTTCAAATGTGGCCCTTTTATGACTTGTGGACTTCAACTCCCAGAATTCCTAAGCCAGCCATGCTGAGGGGAAAGAGAGAGGTTTCCAAGCTGAGCCATGCTGGCTCAGGAATTCTGGGAGTTGAAGTCCACGAGTCATAAAAGAGCCAAGGTTCCCCACCCCTGGCCTAGTCCATTGTTTCTCCACCTCAGCAACTTTAAGACATGTGGACTTCAACTCCCAGAATTCCTGAGCCAGCCTGGCTCAGCTTGGAAACCTCTTCCTTTCCCCTCAGCATGGCTGGCTGAGGAATTCTGGGAGTTGAAGTCCACAAGTCATAAAAGGGCCAAGTTTGAAGACCCCTGTCTTAAATCTAACAAACAAAATGGAGGCTGGCTGAGGAATTCTGGGAGTTGAAGTCCACAAGTCATAAAAGGGCCACGTTTGAAGACCCCTGTCTTAAATCTAACAAACAAAATGGAGGCTGGCTGAGGAATTCTGGGAGTTGAAGTCCACAAGTCATAAAAGGGCCAAGTTTGAAGACCCCTGGTTTGTGAACCCAGCCTGCTCCCATACAGGGTTGTGTATGCTCCTAATCCTCTTGCCTGTGTCTCAGGGAAAGAAATTTTGGGGCGACCTGCTGACCGATGGGAAGATCGCCTGGCAACAGACCGGACAGATCTTTAACTCCCCCAGCGCCTGGGCTACCTACTGCAAGAAGCTGGTCAACCCTGCAAAGAAGTCGGGCTGCGGCTGGGCCTCGGTCAAGTACAAGGGGCAGAAACTTGACCAATACAAGGCGGTCTGGCTGAAGAAGCATCAACCCAATGCCCCCCCTGCGGAGGAGGTAAACCCTTCCGCTCTGCTTCAAAACCTTCTTCCGGCATTGGTGCTTTTTTTCAGGAGGCAACTGGACTTTCTTGTTTTTCCTTTGAAGACGTTTCGCTTCTCGTCCCAGAAGCTTCTTCAGCTCTGACTGGATGCTGAGGAATGGGAAGATTTATACTCCTTGCAGATAGCTGGTCATTTGCATCCTTTTAGAGAGTCGTTGAGGCCACTTGGAGGCTTGTCTGTGTCCTCAGGGTCACATGGGCATGAAGCCTTCTTGGAGCTGCTGAGGATACCATCTATCTCCAATCTATAACACGGTCCTTTCAGCAGCTCCAAGAAGGCTCCACACCCATTTGCACCACTCAGGTGACCCTGAGGACACAGATAAACCTCCAGGTGGCCTCAACAACTCACTAAAAGGATGCAAATGACTAGCTGTCTGCAAGGAATATAAATCCTTCCCTTCCCCACCATCCAGTCAGAAGAAGCTACTTGGATGAGAAGTGAAATGTCTTCAAAGAAAAACAAGAAAGTCCAGTTGCCTCTTGAAAAAGCACTTTTGGGACAACCTGGATGACTGAGAAGCTCCATAGACTTCTTCTGGCATTGTTTTCTAAGTTTCTAGACCACAGGAGGTCAATTCATGGCGCCCTTAGCAGTAGCAAACCCATTAACAGTTCTATTTATTCCAATAATAATAATAATAATAATAATAATAATAATAATAATAATAATAATAATAATAATAATAATAATAATAATAATAATAATAAAGTTGGAAGGGACCTTGGAGTTCATCTAGTCCAACCCCCTGCTCAGGCAGGAAACCCTATACCATTATCCTCAACGCACGGCCAGCGTTGAGCCCAAACTTTCCCTGGCTAAATGAGGCAGTTGTTTAAGGGAGTTTTGCCTCATTTTATGACCTTTCTTGCCATAGTTGAACCACAGTTCAAAGGGGAAAGCATTGGTTCACTTAACGACCGACACAAAAAAAACAGGTTGTAAAATGGGGTCGGTCACATGTTTTTTAATATCCGACTGTAAAAGTCCGGCTCCACTGTAGCCGTATGTGGAGGATTACCTGTCCTTCTGCCCTGGCTGAGACTTTGGAAGTCAGCCAAGACCACCACAGTGATGCCCCCTAGTGGGACCTCGTGGAACTGCAGGTATACGGTGGAGTGTTTAAATCCGGGGTCTTCAAACTTGGCCCTTTTATGACTTGTGGACTTCAACTCCCAGAATTCCTCAGCCAGCGTGCCTGGCTGAGGAATTCTGGGAGTTGAAGTCCACCAGTCATAAAAGGGCCAAGTTTGAAGACCCCTGGTTTAAATTTTCCCATTGAAGTCATCGAGGTTCCCATTGAAGTCATCGAGTCCCACGGGAAGAAGCTTTCTTTAGCTGCTTGGTGCTCTTTTCTTCTCCCCCCCCCCCAGAGTCTGATCAGCGAAGGGGAGGAAGAGGACCTGGGTGACGAGGAGGAAGATGAGGCCAAAGGGATGAAGGCAGCCTTGGCTGACTCCATGCTGGCCAAGAAGGTGGACGAGAAAAGCAGGAAGCTGCTGGCGAAAAGTCTGTCAGACTCACACAACGCAGGTAAGAGGGTCACCCAAGCTGGCGAAAAGGCCACCGGGGGCCATAGCGAGGCAGCAGTGCTTGGGCTGGCTGAATTTCTCCCGGTGTGCTGCCTTCCGCAGGTCAAAAAAGGCAAAATGGTGGCCACGCTGTGAGCAGAACTTCATGGGCACGACCCTGACGTCTTTATCTTATCCTGCAATCTGTGATGAGAAGGGAGGGGAGGGGAGGAGAGAAAAGAAGGATGGAAAGGGAGAAGGAGAGAAGGAAAGAAGAGAAGGAAGGAAAGGAGGGAGGGAGGAGAGGAAAGAAGAAAAAGAGGGAGGAATGGAGAGGAGAGGAGGAAGAATGAAAGGAACGAAGGAAAGAGAAGAGAAAAGGAAGGAAGGAGAAAAAAATGGAAAGGGGAAGGAAGAAGGAAGGAAGGAAGAAAAAGAGGGAAAAGAGATGGAGGGAAGAAAAGAAGAAGAAAATAGGAGGAAGGAAGGAAGAAAAGAGGGGAAGGGGGGGAAAAGAGGGAAGGAAGGAAGGAAAGAAGAAAAAGGGAGGGAGGGAGGGTGTGAGGGACGAAGGAAAGAAAAGAGAAAGAAAAGAAAGAGGAAGGAAGGAAGGAGAAAAAGGGGGAAGGAGGGAAACAAAAAGGCAGGAAGAAAAAGGAGAAGGGATTGAGGGAGGAAGGGAGGAAGACCAAAAGGATGGAAGGAAGAGAAAGAAAAAGAAAGGAAAGAAGAAAGAAAAAGAAAGAAAGAAAGAAAAAGAAAGAAAGAAAGAAAGAAAAGGAAAGAAAGAGAAGGAAGGAAGGATGTATCTTATCGTGACAACTGGCAGCCAAGAATGGCCTTAGCTGAGGGTTATTCCTCTCCCAATTACTTAGACATATTTTTCAACTGGAATGATGGGTTGAACTCCCAGAATTCCCTCCCCAGCAGGCTTTAAGATTGGTGGATTTCGTTGCTGGCTGGGGAATTCTGGGAGTTGAAGTCCACTCGTCTTCAAGCTGCTGAGCTTGAGAAACTTGACTTTCAGAGAGACTTTTTAATTTTCTTTTCATTCTGAAAGGAGAAAAAAAAAACACACAGAAAAGGACAGACACCGCCTCCAACTCGAAGACGGACCTAAGCACGGGAATCTTACTGCCTTTTTTTTTTTCAATCGGCTGGATTTTTTTATATTTTGAAACGGACTGGCAGCATTATTATTATTTTTTGTTTGTTTGTTCCCCCAGATCACAGCAAAAGGCTGGAGTGCCAGAATCGAATTCCTGTCCGTTATTGCAATTTGGGGAGTCGGGATTCTGTCAGGTACATTGATCCAGTGAATGCCGTGTCCTGTTTAAGTGTTCCCCCCCCCCAAAAAAAAATAAAAATAAAAATAACAAGAACAGAAGATTCAGAGATCAGATTCCTGGGGAAATAGAGAATGACTGAGTCTATTTTAAAACTAGAACTAAGGAGAAACTTCCTGACAGTGAGAACAATTAACCAGTGGAACTACCTGCCTCCAGAAGCGGTGAACGCGCCAACACTGGAAGTTTCTAAGAAGAGACTGGACAGCCATTTGTCCGAAATGGTATAGGGTTTCCTGCCTGAGCAGGGGGTTGGACTAGATGACCTCCAAGGTCCCTTCCAACTTTATTATTATTATTATTATTATTAATATTAAATAATAATAATAATAATAATAATAATAATAATAATAATAATAATAATAATAATAATAATAATAATAATAATAATATACGTATTACAAACGTTGATCTGCTCTTCAAGAAAGAGGTCAAAATAAGACGTAATCAGTCAGGGAGGGAGAGTCGGGTTCTCGGTTAGTCCCTATCACCCCCTTCCCCGACCCGACCTTAACGGAGACCTGGGTTCTAATCCCCCTTTCGGTAACCTTCCTCTCAGCCCAAACTGCATATCAGGGATATTGTTGGGGATAAATATTGAAGAGGGGGGCTACAATATACTACCTTGAGTTCATAGACAAATCTATCAAAGGAAGGATAGGGGGTCCTCACTGTTAGGAACTTTCTCCTTAATTCCAGGTTGCTTCTCTCTTTGATCAATTCCAACCATTGTTTCTTGTCCTTCCCTCTGGTGCTTTGGAGAATAACTTGACCCGCTCTTCTTTATGGCAGCCCCTCAGATACCGGAACACTGCTATCATGTCTCCCCTATTTCTTCTTTTCTTTAGACTAGCCAGACCCAAGTCCTGCAGCCATTCTTCGTAGGTTTTAGACTTCAGACCTTGGATCATCGTAATTGCTCGTCTCTGAACTTTTTCCAAACACTCAACATCTTTTTTGTGATATGGTGACCAAAATTGGTTGCAGTATTCCAGCTGTGGTCTTACTAGGGTTTTATAAAGCGGTAATAATACTTCGCGTGATCTTGATTCTATGCCTCTGATTATACAACCCAGGATTGTATTAACTTTTTGGGCTGCTGCTGCATACGGCTGGCTCATGGTTAAGGGATCGTCCAAGGTCCCTGTCACAGTTGCTGTTTTTGAGCCAGGTCTTGCCTAATCTTCTTAAATACCTCCAGTAATGGAGAGCCCACAATTTCTGGAGGCAAGCTGTTCCACCAGTTAATTGTTCTCACTGTTAGGAAGTTTCTCCTTAATTCTAGGTTGCTTCTCTCCTTGATTAGTTTCCATCCATTGTTTTGTCCCGCCTATAGATGCTTTGGAAAATAAGTTGACCCCCCTCTTCTCTCTCTCTCTCTCTCTCTCTCTCTCTCTCTCTCTCTCTCTCTCTCTCTCTCTCTCTCTCTCTCTCTCTCTCTCCCTCTCATCTATCTATCTATATCTATCAACTATCTATCTATATCTCTATCTATCAATATCTCTATCTAGCTATTTAGCTATCTATCTATCTATCTAGCTATCTAGCTATTTATCATCTATCTATCATCTATCATCTCTATCTAATCTATCTATCTATCTAATAATTTATCTATCATCTATCTATCATCAACTTCATCATCTATCCTCTCTCCCTCATCTATCCATATCTATCTATCATCTATCTATCTATATCTCTCTCTATCTAGCTATATAGCTATATAGCTATATAGCTATCCTATCATCTATTTATTTATTTTATTTATTTATTTATTATTTGGATTTATATCCCGCCCTTCTCCTCGTAGGACTCAGGGCGGCTGACAATCAATTAAAATACATAAATAACAATACAAATTTAAAATTAATTAAAAGAGATATTTAAATATTGTCCAATTTAAAATATAATTAAAACCCCTCTAAAAATTACCCTAGGCCAGTCCTGCAAGCTCGAATAACCAAGTCTTGAGGGCGCGGCGAAAGGAAGGGAGATCAGGGATGACCCTGATCTCTGGGGGCAGTTCATTCCAGAGGGTGGGAGCTCCCACAGAGAAGGCCCTCCCCCTTGGGGTCGCCAGCCGGCACTGTCTGGCCGACGGCACCCTGAGGAGACCCACTCTGTGGGAGCGTACAGGTCGGTGGGAGGTAATCTGCGGCAGGAGGCGGTCTCGAATGTATCCGGGTCCGATGCCATGGAGCGCTTTAAAGATGATAGTCAGCACCTTGAAGCGCACCCGGAAGGCCACAGGCAGCCAATGCAGCTCGCGCAGCAGCGGCATCACGTGGGAGCGTCGAGTCCCCCCCAACACCGCCCGCGCGGCCGCATCTATCATCTATCTATCATCTCTATCTAATCTATCATCTCTAATCTATCTATCTAATCTATCTATTATCTATCTATCATCTCTCTCTATTTAATCTATCTATCTATCTAATAATTTATCTATCTATCATCTATTCATCTATCTATCCCCCCCCCTCTCACTCTTTCTCTCAAATTTAAATGTTCAATTATATCTTTGGGGCAACCTTGTGACAAATGGAAGATTTGTACTTTCAGACCTGCAAGGTTGTGTTACGACAGCCTTACTGTAGAAATAGCTCATCTAGTTATGTTTCCCCTCCGGTCTGCCTGATAAGGCAAACCACATGCCAGTGTGTACTGTATTCCGAAAGGACGTTTCTAGTCCTCACGATCACAACATTAAGGGTTGTTTTTTTTTAATTGCCTTTAGGAACCCCCATACCTTGGTAGAGGTGATGTCTTTTGCAGCCCTCAACAAATTCCAGCCTTTCAATGTGGCCATCTCTAGCAACGTTCTCCTACTCGTGGTAGGTAATCCCTTCTTGCTTTGGGGACGCAACTCCAGGGCTGGCTGCGGAATTCTGGGATTTCTGGATTCGGCAAGTTCAGAGGGCACCAAGTTGGGAAAGGCTGACTTAGTGAACATTTTATTGTGTTTGTTACAAGGGTTTGCATACCGCCTGGTGGAGTTCAGTCAGTGGGAAAGAACATCAAAGCAACTGAATCTATCAATGCAAATACAAGTGGTCCTCAACTTACAACAGTTTGTTTAACGGCCATTCAGTGTTGCCACAGCACTCAAAAAAGTGATTTATGATCATTTTTCACATTTACGACCATTGCAGCATCTAAATCAGATTCACTTAATGACCGTGTTACTGAATTAACAGCTGCAGTGATTCACTTAACAACTGCAGCAAGAAAGGTCGTAAAATGGCCCCAAACTCACATAATAGTTGTCTTTTCTCTCAGAATGGAGATTTTGGGCTCAATTGTGGTTGTAAGTCAAGGACTGTCTGTATAGGGGAATACTTAGACAACTGACGATTAGAGTTTACCCCTAACTCAAATAGGACAGGCTTAATCACCTGGCAGGAAGATAGATAGATAGATAGATAGATAGATAGATAGATAGATAGATAGATAGATAGATAGATAGATAGATAGATAGATAGATAGATAGATAGATAGATAGATAGATAGATAACTTTTATTGTCATTTTTTACTCTGGGCACATTGGCACACATTAAATATGAAATTCTGTAACCTGCTCTCAGAAATGAACACATACATAACAGGAAGCTATTGATGCTCTCCTTTTCTTACCCTTCCTCCTCCTCCTCTTTCCCCTTCTCCTTCTCCTCCTCCTCCTCTTACCCCTCCTCCTGTGCACAAACCCCTCTCTCTTCCAACACTGATGATATTAGCTAGTTGGGTCATGAAACGTCTGCAAGAAAAACCACCCAGCTCAGAGAGCACCAAGGACCGCATACTCCTACTCCTACTCCTTCTTTCCACAAACCCCTCTCCCTTCCAGCCCTGATGATGTTAGCTAGTTGGGTCATGAAACGTCTGCAAGAAAACCACCCAGCTCAGAGAGCACCCAGGACCCCACAGTTCATCCCTGAGCTTCAAAATAGTCTCCCCTTTTGATTGTCACGCTCATCCGTTCCCTTTGGCATCTTCTCTTTAGGATTTCCACAGTCACTTATCAAGAAGTGAAGTGGTGGGCTACCTGGCAGGCCAATGGAACATCAACAGCCAACGTAAGTCCTGTTGAGTTATCCTGAGGTGAGCTAAAAGGTTGGATGTTTCGGGATTTTGATGGGATTTTTTTTTTAATTCCTTCATAATTCACGCATCTGCTTGGGAACAAAAGAAGATTAGGGGACTGGAGGCTAAAGCATATAAAGAACGGTTGCTGGAATTGGGTATGTCTAGTTTAATGAAGAGAAGGACGAGGGGGGACATGATAGCAGTCTTCCAATATCTCAGGGGCTGTCCCAAAGAAGAGGGAGTCAAGCCATTCTCCAAAGCACTGAAGGCAGGACAAGAAGCAACGGGTGGAAACTAATCAAGGAGAGAAGCAACCTAGAACTAAGGAGAAACTTCCTGACAGTGAGAACAATTAACCAGTGGAATAACCTGCCTCCAGAAGTGGTGAATGCTCCAATACTGGAGGTTTTTAAGAAGAGACTGGACAGCCATTTGTCTGAAATGGTGTAGGGTTTCCTGCCTGAGCAGGGGGTTGGACTCGATGACCTCCAAGGTCCCTTCCAACTTTATTATTATTATTATTATTATTATTATTATTATTATTATTATTATTATTATTATTATTATTATTATTATTATTATTAT